TGGACTTTGTGTGGGGTGAGAAGAGTATGTACGTGAGTGTATGTTTAAGGATGAGGCTGGAAGGGTAAGCAGGGGCCAGATTATGAAGGGCCTTCTAAACTAAACTAAGGACTGTAAACAGGGAGATAATGGGGAGCCACTTAAAAGCTTTATTTCCTACTCATCTTGACAGGCTCTGAGACTCACCCTTTCCCATCATCCTCTGTTCTCATCCCCAGACCCCATCTGTTTCCTCACTTCTTCCCCCCTGCTCACCATCGGTTACTCCTATGCTCAGAATTGGAATCATCATCCAATTCTATGCATTGGTCAACAGAGGGTGACAGAACCAGGTATTTGGGATCCTGATCTCAAAACTATATCCAATTTCACTTCCAACACAAGTCTCACTTTGCTTTCAGTAGCATGAGCAAGGGAAAGAAGCGGCTTTCCCAACAGGAATGCCTGTATCCAAGCCCATTCCCAGCTTGACTTTGTCAGCCTCAGGCAATCAACCAGTTAGCCTGTTACTGCTTTTTCCCACCTAAACGAGTTGAATAGTCTTCCTGAACAAATAACAACAGGTTGGTTGGCTTCTCAGGACTATGGCCTTCATGCTCATTGGCCTAATCCAAATGATTTTGCAAAATATTAAGGATAACCATGGCTAGCAGGAAAAAAATGTAAACTCTCTGGCATCTCCTCCTAACCTCCATAACCCTTCCTGGTTTGCCTCTTCAGCCTCACCCTCCTCAATGCCAGTCTTCCTAACTCACAGGACTCTTTCATGGAAGTCAAATATAATACCTGGCTGTGTTCTACAGACGTTGGAATCTTTAGATCATTTTATCTCAAGGGTGAAATGAGATTACCAGCACCATTTTTCTTAGGGTGTGTTCTGTGATATTTAGTGCCCCAAGATCTCCTCCTACCCCTGTGGATTCCTGCCCTCTGCTGGGAAATGTTAGCTTTCCCTGGCACTGGCTTGCCATGTACTTAAACCACCAGCAAAACCACCTTTACCAAGATAATATTCTCATACCATAAAATTCACCCTTTTGGAGTGACTGTATTCAGTGGGATTTATTTTATTCAAATTGTTGTTGTACAACTTACCACCACTAATTCCAGAACATTTTCATTGCCCTACAGACGAAAACGTGACCCATTAGTAGTCATTCTCCACTCTCCTTGGCAACCACTAATCTATGTTCTATCTCTATGGATTTGCCTATTCTGGACATTTTGTAGAATCATACAAAGTGTGGCCTATTGTGTCTGGCTTTGTATGTACTCTTAATGAATCCTCAAACAATCTTGAGGTAGAAAACTTGTGTCCCAGGCTTCAGTTGTCCTTTATCCAACAGCAACCATTGACTTGAGGAAACTGACACTCCAAAACTGTTAGGAGACCTACCTCCTAATTGTGCTGGCACCTATACAATAGGAATAAAACCTCTGGCATAACCATCCTGGTTCAGTGTATCAATGACAAAACCAACACTCTGAAAGCATTACTTAAAAGTATTTTTTAATTTAACTTTAATTTCTGAGGTAAAATACTTTTCTTTCAACTTCCATAACAAAATACAGAGCTATCGGATACCCCTGGAAAAAAATATGTATATTATACATATACTTCTATAACATTACATCATATATATAATATATATGCAAAAATTTGAAGACTTTATAGAAAGCGGAACATCTAAAAGGCACTGCACAATGGAGTTAAGATTACTTACATTTTATGTACATATGCACACTTTTTTCTGCTTAAGCTAACTAGTGAAGTCATCTTTTAGAAGTGAGTATCTCACTCATGAATCCCTGCATCACAATTTTATAACTCAAAGAATGCCTAAATATTTCAAAACAAATTAACTGGTGACATTTTTTCCCCAACAAGAAACTAAAAATGGAACATTTCTTGAAAAGACTGGATCAAAGTTCTTTTTAACAAAATTAAAGTTCCATTACTCTTTATAAAACAAAAAGCACAAACATAATTATGGAATAAATAAAAAAACAAACAAGGGACAAATAACCAACTCTCACTACCCGCTTGGTGAGAAGTGAAATACTTTATATTTTTAATGCTTCTGAAAGCTTCTTGGCCCATGGAGGACTAGGGTGCAGCAACTGCCTATGTTAGTTAATGAGTTGGGTTTAATGCAGCGGAGCTCGAAAACTGGGGGTAACAGGACTAGTGAATTGTTTATATTTCACTCAGAGCCATTCTCCAAAAAAAAAAAAAAGAAAAAGCTCGGCAAGGTTGGATGTCCTTTAGATGGACCTCTACTATTTTTAATAGTCAAAAAAGCAAACTTTGCATGAACAGATTTTTGATTAATATAATTTTAAGATCTGTATGTGTGAAATTTTCAACATTTGGCACAGCAAATTTTGGAAAAACTGGGAGAGAGAAAATAGGTCTGGTTTTGTTCCCCTTTTTTCTACCTTCTGTTGGACAGTGGTAAGACGCTCACAGAAGGGAAAAGACTGCATCAGTGCCAGGCTGGTGACAGGCGCTGCCAGGAGCAGGCTGGGGGAGAAAGACTATGTCCCACCCCTTCACCCCAGGAATGATCTACCTCCGCATTTCCCGGTCCACTTCCTGAGCAAACACAAAGTCAGCTCTGTACAAGGACCCTCCCCTCCACCCCAACCCCAGTGTGCAGTGCAAGGTGACCAACAATTTACTGGTGGAATGGCAATCAAAGGAAACGGTTAAACACCAAACAAATTTTTAAAGCCAAAAAACATTTTCATGGAACTGAACATTTTTTGAGTGTTTTTTTTCAAGTGTACAAGCAGTGACTTTTTGTTCAAACAGAAGCAGCATCTAGGAATTCTGGCACTTGGGTTCTAGGGGGGTTACAAGTATGCATCATGGATTTCTCTCCCTCTTATTTTAAAGGCCTCATGTTTCTATTCCTGAGTTAATACCGACACCAGCTGGCCCTCCCCTTTAGTAGTGGACAGAGAGGGTAGCTAGCCTCCCTGGTTAGGTCGGGCAATGACAAGAGATACCTCCTCCGCGTGCCCGGACTTGCTTTCTGATTCGAGGTAAATCGAGGTTCAGAGAAAGAAACTGACAAAAACACAACCAACCAAAGGCAGCCTGAACAGGGAGACCTTTGCAGCCTGACCAAAGCCTAAGTCCTTAGGGATGGCTCTGTCAGTCCCTTTCCCAGGGAAAGACAAGTCACTCATGGAATTTGATTTAAACGGGAGAACACTTGCTAAAAAACAGTAACAACCACCACCACCACACCCTGCATGATGGATAACTCACTCACCTGCTCTAACCTCTCCTGAGCTTGTCTCTCATGCATGCTCTCCGGTTTAAAAAGAACACCCACCCCCAACACTAAGACAAATCTCCAATGCTTCCTAGTATATACAGTTCACTTAGGTTCAGGAATTTCTCCTTTCCTAGACAGCATCCCTGTGCCTGTCCCCCCGCCCCCCCATCAGATATGTAGTTACTTCTCTCTCTATTGCCCTGATGCCAAGTGGATCTGAGCCACAATTAGGTATTTCCACACACTACAAGGTTACATGTGCACACACATACACAGAGTAGGCTGTGGCTTCTCTCTCTGCCCCTAGTCTAGGTTCCTTTTCCTTCACAGAAGATCAATACTTTCCCACCCCTCTGAAGTTGATGGAAGAAAATCTCCCATGAAAAAACAATGCTCCACTGTCTGTAGCCTGGAGTCACACATAGGACAGACAATTGACCATGAATATTACAACAAGCCTAGGAAACGGGTACAGAAAGAATGGCAGCACCACAATGGGACAGACACCAACTTTTATTCATACCAGGCTTTTTGGCATCTGGTTGCCTTGTTTCTCCTCTCTATGCCTTCAGGTTCAACAAGCATCCACCTGCACTCCCAGTTACCTTCTGCATTTCCAGGTATTATCTGTCCTTAACTCCCACAGTTCTGCCTTTTTGCTTTCCATCTTATAACATCAAGAGGGGATAACTAAATAGCTCAAAATTTAACCATGTTCCAAAACTCCTGGATTATCTGAAAAATTGATCATGCCCTTTTACAGGTTTATTTTGCCAAGACCCGTATTATGTTAAAGTATATTCATTGTTAAGGCTTGCCTTAAGAAAATGGTAAGAGAACCAGACACAACAAAAATACATCTTCACCATTATCATGCCTCTCAGTGAACTCACTACAATCTCTCTGGTTTGGCTCCCCAAACCCATGATGGAAAAGGAAAAATGAAGGTCATTTTTGTGTTTGTTCTATTTTTAAAGGCATTGGGTTACTTCCTCTTGCCCTCTTCTTTTCTCCCTGAAAAAGAGTTTACAACTCCTCATGGCTTCTTAACAGGTGAAGTGGGCGAACAGTCCAAGAAATTCACAGCAGAGCTTCCTGTCTCAACCATGAAGCCAGGCTCAGTGCCTGTACTTCCCAGCCCCACTCTAACTGGCAGTACGTTTCATGTTTCCTGAAAACACTTTTTAGAAGAAAAAGAAAAAATGCCAAACAACAAAGTAGAAAAGAAAAAGAGGAACACCTGAATACCCCCACCTCCTACCCCTGTAAGACTGTGATTATCTTATTCTCCCCCTGAAATAATTATAAAGAAACATCTCAGGCAAATACTGAGTATTAATGGTTTCTCACTGCTCAACCTCCCAACCATGCCCTTTCCCCTTTTATATGTAACTCTCAGAGCAAAATAAACTCATTAATGGCTTTCCATACATAAATACAGTAGAAAAGAAAGAAGTCTGGAACAATCATGGGACCAGTGTCTTGGCCCTTTGGGAGTTTGTCAGAAAGTATTAGCCTCAACAGGAAAGAGGCTCTTTCTCCTTCAGTTCATACCCTTCCTGTATCCTACTTAAGAGGAAAAAAAGTGTTTGTATCCCACCTAATTTACAACAGAAGATGCCCCATCCCATCCCCAAAACATAAAGTACAAGTCTATGCCCCTACAATGATCAAACCAGTCTAATTCCCGCCCTCCCTCCCCCCACCCTGAAATCTTGCTACATAAATATTGATACATGTATGTGATTATAGTATAAACAGCTCCCAATCCACTTCAAGTTCTAAGCATCAGCAGCTGCTGCTGCCAAGCCCCGTGGTCCAGACCCGTTCCAGAGGAACGTGCCATCCTTACTCAGCTCTCGGGCTTCAGGGTCGTCATTCCAGCGCCGCTTCAATCGAAGCTTGGGGGGCATCAGGGCATCTTCTTTCTTCTCAGGTGCACTGGGCTCTTTGCCAAGCCTGTCTTCACTGTCTACAGTCACCTCTAGGTGTTCTTCACTTGGGGTGCTAATGGGTACAGACGGCCAGATAGGTGGTGCTGCTGGGCGGGCAAAGATGGTACCTTTTTCTTCGTCTATGGTCCTGCTTGGCACAGTGCCCTCTTCTTGAGAGCTCTCCTCCTCTCGGGCTGTTTGTCTGAGATTCTCAGGATCCTTTTCAGAAGCTGGCTCTACCTTAATTCTTGGAGGGACAGGAGCCATGGCGGGAGCAGTGACAGGTGCTGACTCCTCATTGCTCTCTATCCTCTCCCGGTTCTTCCGCCCCACTGGTGGGGGCTGCAGTTTGATAGAAAACTGGGTTGACTCCTCAGGATGCATTTGGCACTGCAGCGGTGGAACCATGAGCCCTGGGTAACGGGGAAATGTCCGGGGACTAAGATGGTAGTTGAACACAGAACAGGCTTGAGAATGAAGGTAGTGTTTCATTTCCTCAGGGTTGAAGGAAAAGCAACTGCTGCTGGTGAAAGGGCTCAGGCCTGGTGATGGGCTATAGGAGAAGATAGTGGGAGTCAGGGAGAGGGCTGGTGAAATGGGGACATTAAGGACACCTCCTCGGCCAGGGATTGGAGAGACAGCGAAGGGACTGTGGGGGTCAGGGTAGATTCCTGGCCTAGTGAACAGAGGGAGCATGATGTCAGGCTTGCGTTTCTGATGGCCAATCCCTCCTCCACTGACAGCATTCCGGGAGGACATGAGATCCACACCCCGGCGCCAGTCGGTGGCTGAGCCATCCTCCAGCTCTGAAAGCTCCGCCTTTCTATCAGTGCCATTACTCAACTCCTGGCCAGAAGCAGTTAGGGAGCTAGCAGAGAACCGCCCTGGCTGCACATCACTAGTTGGAGAATGAGCGTCCAGAGATGGAAAATGGAAGCGGGAAGAGGCTGTTGGCACTGGTGGTGCACTCTGGGGAACCACACCTGTGATGGTGGAAAAGACAAAAGGCTACTTCAGAGGTCTGGTCATTCATTATCAGTACTTTTACTCACGCTAAATAAGTAGAAGACATTAGGAACAACAGGAAACCCTTGAGCTGGACTGAATCCCTTAGTTCCCTGTCTTCCCAGTAACTACTGCTCAACTTCTTCTCAATTTAGTTGCCCCTTTTCTGTAACCTCTTACCCACTTTGTCTTCACAGTATTCTTTGCTATCTGAAATTTGATTTACTTGTTTATCTATATTTTAAAACATAAATTAAATGAAGGCAGGGTTTCCTATTGTTCACAACTAGATTTCCAGCAGTTCAGGGCTTAACAGTGAGTAGGTGCTCAATAACTATTAGTTCAATGAATGAATGGGTACCAAGGCCTTCCCCTCTGCAACTGTAAATACTGTATATATCACCCGTTTTAGTGATCAGCTTTGCAAATAGTTTTTTTTAATTTTTGTAATTTTGCCCATTTCTATAAAACAAGTAAACAAACCAAACCAAACCAAAAAAAACCTCACAAAATTAAAAATGACATGCATGTAAAGCAATGCATTAAAAGACTAAAAATCCTGCCCTAGCTGGGTGGCTAAGTTGGTGGGGGTGTTGTTCCATACACCAAAAGGTTGTGACTTTGATTCCCCAGTCAGGGCATATGCGTAGGCTGCAGGTTTGATACTGTGTGGTATTGGAATACAAAAGATGCATTCCAATGTCACGTGTGGGAGGGAACCGTTCAATGTTTCCCTTTTTCTCCCTTTCCCCCTTTCTAAAATCAATAAAAATATCCTCAGGTGAGGATTAAAAACAATTAAAAACCCTCAAAGACCCTGCACCTAACATATATGGATACAAACAAGGCATATTTTAAAAATAAAAACAGATTAAAAAGAAAAAGGCTGACCCTGGCTGATGTGGCTCAGAGGATTAAGTACTGGCCTGCAAACCAAAAAGTCGCCAGTCTGACTCTCTCAGTCAGGGCACAGGCCTGGGTTGCGGGCCAGGTCCCCAGTAGGGGGAGCACGAGAAGCAACCACACGTTTATGTTTCTCTCCCTTCCTCTCTCTGAAAATAATAAAATCTTAAAAAAAAAAGGCTGTATTTTAAGTTCTCATGGTGTATCTTTTATCATTTATCGTATACAATCAATTCTTTACAGAAATTTAAATAATTTTCAATCTCTCCAATTCTATATTTCTCTAACAAATTTTATCTAATAATTGCCATTCCCATCTGCTTTCAATGCTTTTTAAACATTGAAAAGGCTGGGTGAATCCAGGAACCTACCACTCCCTTTTCCCAAGTCACTTGCTAAAATCTGAAGCTCTAAACTACCAACACCACGCTAAAAACATTAACTTCAGAGGCTCAGAAGTTCTCAACTCCCAAAAAGGCTCTTTTGATAAATAAAGCATAAGAACGGTGTGCCAGCTAAGGCCTCAGGGACCCTTCAGTTTCCTGGAAAAAATTAGTTTTCTATCACTGCTGATATCAGGAGGGCTCTTTACACTCTGAGGAGGAGATAAAGCAGAAGGAAAAAAGGGAAAATTGTTTTTTTTTTTTTTTTTTTTACAAAATCCAAATAAATGAAAGCATGGTGGTGATTCAGTAGGAGAAACAAAAAAAGTGCGTAAGATAGAGTGTGGTTAGGCATCACTCTCAATCAGCTGCCTTCTGCTATTTGTATAACAGAATCATCCTCAGATACGACTCTGGAGTCCACTGGTATGTTTAAGACTAGCTTTATAGAAACACATGACTGACTAACTCTGAGCCAGAGCAGCATTTCCCAAACTGATGCCTCACAGAAAATGCAGGACTTTTCCCGCTAAGGCCACTGATTTAATCTTACAATTGTGGGCGCTGGTGAGGGGCACAAAAAGATGACCTTATATGTAATTTGAGTTGAGTCAAGGTTTCCAGTGGCTAACATTCTATTCTTTTTTATTCTTTCAGATCTTGATTTTATATAAGAGCACATCTATTTAAAAGCAAAAAAAACCCACTTCTGTGTGTTCTGAAGGACTGAATGGCATTAAACATAATGTGCGAGGTGATCCTGTCTCCTAAACAATTATTTTTTGAACTGAAGGATATCTCAAGTCTTTACACAGGCTAAGATACTCTGTAAATCTGTAAGAAGGAAACAAATACATGGCATTTTTCAAATGCGTTTAGAGGGAGTGAAGACAGGTGAAACCTAGGAGCGATGCTGAAGCATTCTGGACCCCTCACATCTCACTGCAGCAGCCTTCCCTGCTCTCTACCCTCTATTATATATGTTGAAATAGCAAACCTAAGACTTTATTTGAAAAAGTAAGTTTGCTGCTTAAAAAAATGTTTGAATAACGCAGCTTTGGAAGAATATCACCTTAATGGAGTCACCATGAAGGCTGAGTAGTAAGGGTGGAAAATCTAGGTTTGAATTCTACCTTGTATCCTCATGCAAGTAACCAACTGGTGTTTAAGCCCCCTCTAGCAAAATAAAAATCATAAGGCCTCTGCCTAGATTCAAACCCTAGCTCTACCACTTACTAGTTGTGTGACTCTGGATAACCTACCTTTCTGTGGCTCAGTTTCTTTGCCTATAAAATGAGTAGTAACAGGACTAATTTCATGTTTCAAAAACTAAAAAGTTAATATTTATAAAGATCTTACAATACTATCAGTCCATAGCAAAATGCATGTATTTGTCAAAATAAGTGATCTATTAGATAATAATCATTGTTCAAAAATAAAAATTTTAAAAGTCATGTATCATTTAAATATGGATCACATATACATAACAGTATTAGATCAATGTTAAACTTCCTGGGCATTACAATGTTATTGTGGTTATGGAGGTCTATGCCCTTGTGCCTGGGCAATACATGCTGAAGTACACTGGGGTGAAGTGTCGTGATGTCTGCAACTTAATCTCTAAAGACCTAAATTATATATAAATAGAAAAGAATAAAGTGCAGCAACAATGCCAATGATCAGTGAATGATATGTGGGTGTTCCTGGTCTATTTTTTCCAACTTTTATATAAGTTTAAAGTTTCCCAAACAAAGGAATATATACACAACTTGGGGTGGAGAGGCATGGAGAGAGGTCTCAAGTCCATCCCGGAACTGGCATGCCCTGCTCCTACACTCTAACAGCTTATCACTTTTAGTAGTATTTTCTGTATCTTTCTTTTGTTTATTATGCAAGTAAATATTTAAAATACATTTTAACATGGTATTTACAGGATGCTTTTAATAATAAAAATGAGATATCGTATATAGAAGTATTTTCAACACCATTCAAATGTTAAGGACTCTACCCTAAACTGTTATAAGTGAGGAGGATTGCAGAAAAGGGAGAAGATTCACTTTACTCTTACTCTATGAACTTTTATATTATTGTATGTTACAACCAGTGTGTATTACCTTTTTAAAAAACACAAAGATTAAAACAGCCCAGCTGTATGAACTCACCATCTATACATGATCTCTCTAGAACTAAAGCCATACAGCCCTACTTCTTAGAGCGCTTATCACATTCTACATTCCAGTTGTATTAAACCTCACATGTCTTAGCCCTGCTAAACTGTAAGTTCCTTGAGAGAAAGAGTGTCCTCATAATCATCTTTTGTTTGTTTGCTTAGGGTTTAACACATTATATGTTGATCAAATGAATGAATCCCAACCTGGAGGAAGAATGGTTGATCTAGTAGAGCTAGATTACAGCAGTTTTTCAACAGGTGGGCATTCAGCCCACCCTGATCAATCTTTGACTTTGCTGTCATCCTTAATTTTATCATTTGTAAAATGATACTGAGACATATACTTTACCTGGCTAGCAGAGGTGAATGAAATGATTCACAAAACATAAACAAAAGTACCTTTGTTAAGTTCAGTAAGTGTTATATTTCCTTTTTCATAAAAAGTGAACTTGAAACAACATTTGGTCTATCTGGGTAAAAGTTCTCTATGAAGAAATGACTCCTTCCAAAGAACTAACTTAGAAGTTATCCGTATCCAGAAGTACACAACCAAGCAGTGTGCCTAAAGGAAATACATGCTGTTCTACTTTCTCTGTGACTTTTCTGATTAGGATCTTGAGCTAGGTTGATCAATGTTGGTTCCACTGCCTTCAAGCAGAATGGGTTGTACTAGGCTACTACTGTTAGGCCTCTAAACTAGAGTCTTGACAGGAGAGTTCAGATTTCCTTGCCTTGGAAAAGCGTATTATTCCCAGGGGCTGGGGGATGCCCCATTCCAGGCTGCCTAATAGCTGGAATTCTGGGTTTTTCAAAAGACACAAATGAGTGAAAGACAGGAACAGGACCACCGAAGCCTTTTTTGGGGGACTGGTATGAAAGGGTATGACCACAAACACATTTCTTCAAAATCAGTGGTATGCCTATCTAGAGTCCCAATTCCTCTAGGTGTATAAGGAAGGAACAAGAGTGAAAAATAGAGGAAACAGGATTCCAGTGGCTAGAACAGGTTTGATTTCCTTATGCCTCTCCCTCAGGCACAAGGAAAGAAAACAGGTTGTAATTAGAGAGATGCATTCCAATACTTTTTTTTTAATGTACGCCCCAGGGACAGGAGGGAGTGGCTACAGAATGAGAGATGGAAATGTAATGATAGCAGCATCAAGCTAAAACTGCCCTAACTTGTCGTATGTAGCAATTAGGTATCTGCAATGGATCTCTGCATTATATTCTCTCAGCCACACCCTTGTTCTAAACTTTCAGGTTGCTTCTGACTTTTCTATGAGATTGTAACACCGCAGAATCAGCATTAGATGTCTTTGCCTTAATATATAATGCCACAAAGACAGTATTGGTGGTTGGTCAGGAGCTGGTTAATACAATCTATTTTCTGGGGCAGGGGTATGATTTGCATCGACAAACACACACACTCTTCTAAGAGACTGCCTTCTGCTTCCAGAAAGGTAGACCTGAGACCTCCGTGAAGAGCTGTGATGACAATCTATCACCAGAGATCCTAGAGGGGAAAACGTGCTGCACTTAGAAGGTCAAGTAACCCTAGAGTCTTGTTCTGAGGAGCTGTTGGTACAGATCAAAGGCACTGCTATTCACTGCAAACATACAAACCTCCTCTTCTGTGATCAAGGATGCTGTGGTTTTGATGATATTCACTTGATAAGGAAGAGTTTGGTAGTTTCATAGAAAATCGGAAGTGTTTGTAGAAATAGGTTCTTGTCTATGAAAGAGCCACTGGGTAGGGCATTAAAACTCCGAGTATTAAATGTAAAGATCAAAACAAAGCTACAGAACATCATTCCTGAAGAGGACAGTATAATAATATCTAGGAGATTACAAATGATATGCAAAAAAGGGAACCAAACAAAAACCAAACACATTCATCTTGATGCTACAGAGCCTATCATTCTTGGTATGAGATGAATGGAGACACCTGAACAAGAACAGAGGCAATCCAAGAGGCTATATCATGTCAGTGCTTCTAAAAACTTCTTAAACACACCAGTCTTAGGCTTGGGTTTTTAGGATTCTTTTTCCCCACCAAGAGACTTTGCATCTTACCACTTGACCGAATGTTGATGAAGGGGTAGTTGGGTGTCACCAACTTGTTGAAGTTAAATTTATAAGTAAATCTTTTTCCTTTTGTTTTATGAAGGATCCTCTTGTTGTAATAGTATCTGTAAAAACAGGAATGCATGTCAATTTATCTTCTACCTACTGATACACTTAGGTAATCACTAAGAGCAACAATTTTTGCTCTAAGTATTCGTTGCAAATATCACTATCATTCTTTTGCAGATTTGCCCTCAGGTTAAGGCTGGGGGACCTAGGAGCTTACTTTTCTCATTCCATTTTCAATTCAACTAAATTCTGATCCTGAACACCTATCCTAGTCCCAACCATCTTTCTTTCCCATCTTTCTACAGTTTCAACCTTACAGTACATTTCCTTCCTCTTCCACTATATGTCACTATCTAGTTTCCAGTTTCTCTTTTCTGCCTTATCCAGGTGGCAGAGGGTGGGGTGGGGCAGCCGGCAGCAGACAAGTCTCTTGGGATACCTGATGTGGTTAGTCTGGAGGCCATAGAAGGAATGTGGAACTGTTTTATGGTGGCAGGTCAAACAATGGTATATCCTGACCTGGAAAACAGCGCTCAGCTTGGCCTGCTTCACTTTTAAAGGGTATGTGAGAGAATCCAGCAAAACTGCCACAAATTTACACTCAGAGTCACTAATAATGAAAAAAACTTCATTCAGGGAGTTTCAATGTACCCAGAACCTTCAGCCTCACATCTATTCATTAGCACAGGTTATAAACTCCCTTCTGGCTCCTTGAGGGCTAAGGGTTATAAAATATAAAGACTGACAAGTGGAAAACAGAACCTGAGAAAAAGTTATAGATCAACATATCAATACTAGATATGTTGGAACAACCTATGCACTGACAACTGAACTCACAGATAATGGTTCCTAAATTGCTAGGTCAGTACCATTCAGTGAGTCTTCCTCCTTTGTGTTTGCTTCACTCTTTTTCTAGCGTTTTCAAGGAGAACCTAAAGAAAAGAAATTCTAACAGATTTCTAACAAGGAAATCTAAATAACTTTTTGGATTATAAATGGGCTACAATCCATGTTTTACACACTCTCACCCACAACAGAGCATAACTGATGCTGTCTGTCAGAAGCCAGTGCCAACCATGATGGAATCCCCTCCTACATATAACCAAAGATACGCCTTTTCTCCTCCTGTGTCTCTACTACTCAGATTTAACAGCTCTTCTACTCCCACTTGAAAACTACACATGACTCAGTTAGACAGTACAGTCTCTTGTATCAAACTGCTGAGAATCCCTTCAATCTATTGACATCATGGATCTGGGGATCCTTTCTGTTACCTAAGGGCCCGGCTCAGCTTGTCATAATTCATCTGTGGTTTGCACTTCCTGCGGCCCCAGAGGCGAGCCACCTCATCTGGATCTTTGATGACAAACTCCCCGTACTCTCCCTGCTGCCAGGCAATGACGTGGCGGAACTCTTCCTTCTGCAGCAGCTCCAGGATGAAGTGCCAGAGCTGGATCTGCCGGGAGCCTGGTGATGATTCTGTTTTATAGGCCCATTCAGGAAACTGATACCCTTTAATGTGAAAAGGGCAAGATCAAAGTTTTCAGGAGCTAGGTACATACATTCCAGTACCCCCGACTTCACATTCCAATGCTCATTATCTCTAGAGTGCTGTGCAAACATGCCATAAACACCCATTTGGTCCGCTGGGGCCAACCACAACAGGGGAGAGAAAAGCACAGAGAAGTTACTTTCTCTTAGGGCAAACATCAAATCTGAAAAGAGTTGAGTAGCAAGCACCCAGGTGTCCTAATGTCGTACCCTTTTATACGTAACTAAATTTCACACCTACTTCCTACGAGGGCATGAAAGTTGAAAACCCCTTCCCATGCAGAGTTAGAACTGTGTTTCTAACAGGGAAGAGATTATAAAGCTTGGGATAAAAGTGTGGTGACCAGACATGTTAGATATACATACATAGGAACCAAGCCTGCAACTGTCCTAGCAATATCCACTCAGTCAAGAGGCTGTCAGTCATGGTCTGGCATTTGTGAATAGAGCCCAAGTGGAGAGAGAAAAGAACCATGGAGGGACACTCCAAGTACATCAGAGATGATTCACTTCTGCTCACCTCCACCTCCTTCTGGCTTTTCGACGATGCTACAGCCTGCTTTCATTTTCACCCTCCTGCTGAGAGATACAAGCCACATCAATTACTTAAAGGTGTTATTATTTATTATCTTCTCAAGGTTTTCTGACACAGCCTTTCCCCAAACTTCCTTTTCCTCCTTATGTAACCCTCTTTCTTTCAAACATGTCACCTCCAAACTGCTAATCCTCAAGTCATCAAATGATGGTCCTCAGGTCATCAGCTTCAGAGGCCATAATTATCTTTCACCTGACTTTAAACCACAAAAGGTAAACACTGTCATTAATATTTGCTTTCTTTCTCCTGATCAGGCCTTTGGAAGGTACAGGTACTGTTAAATGGGTCCAAAGAGGCAGCCCAAACAAGTCAGTTTGTCTTTTATTACTAGACAGGCCCAGATGCCAAGACATACACGCTCGAGTTCACCCAGATGTACCAGTTTAAAGAACAGTGGGGAAAAAAAAAATCCAAATCCATCTGACTGCCACTTAAGAAACATCTGATTTTCATTTATTTTACTGAATTATGTGAGATGGGAGAAGGAAAATTCCCAGTCAGAAGCTGCCCCCTCCTCCATGAGAAATACCCTGGCATAGTGAAGTAAACACACCACATGTACAGTTACTCTATACAAAAAACACATACATTACTAAAATTTTTTTGAGAAAAAAATGCATATTTTCTCCTTTTAATAGAAAGAGAAAAAAAAGCAAGCATTTCTGAGAACCTTTGCCCAATAAGTGGAGGGAGTCTTGGCGTGATCTGAATTCACTCCATCTAGATTTATAGTTCCTCAATAAATTCCCTGTTCCTAGCAGCGAGCAGCTCCGTATCGGTCAATCCTGGAGCAAAAAGAAGGGAAGGGTGAAACTGCCAGAGGGAGATGTGGGCAGGAGAGGGCAGATCTCCCTCACTGTTCCTCAGGGTGGATGACAGGCCCTCAGCACCCACATTAGTGGGAGAACGTAAGTGCCTCAGTGGCCTCAGTAGGGTGGAGTGGGGACAAATTCCCAATCTTGGAAACTTCATCTAACGTCGGATATCTCCAGATCCTTTAGATTTTTCTTTTTCATCACCCACATTAAGAAAGCTAGCAAGTTTTAGTCTGTAAGACTACAAGAGAATGAGGGTGAGATAAATACTCCGAAGGAAGAAAACAAAATCAGACACACAGTCACATACAGAAGATCCACAATAACAAGGCCCAGAGCTGAGGTAGAAGCTTCCTCTCCAGCTGCTCCCATCTCCGTGACAATAAGAGAGGAAAAACACTAATAACCCCACGGCTCCAGGAAGCTGCCCTGGACTCGTAACTCCTGGATGGCTCTGTCGGTTCACAGGGCCTTTATCCTGCCACAGGAATGGTCTTCAATCACTAAGTCTTGGGTTCAAACCCGCTGCAACAATAACTTGACCAGGAAGCTCTCTCTTGACACCACAGCTCCCGATTAATCCCCATAAAGGTCCACCTCCCAGGAACCTAGAGGAGCGTCTGCATGCGTTTCACAAATTCACTCCGAGGACATTGTCCAAGTAGGGCCACTCATCCCAACTCTGCAACTTCCACCAAGGCCCCTCGCCCTTCCTCAGATCCCGACCACCGCTCGAAGAGTGTAGCACGCAGAGTCTGGCGCTGCGGCTCCCGGGCTAGGCCCCCAAGCCTCTTTTCCACTTGCTTCTGGCAGGATCTCCCTGGCCCTGAGGCACGGCTGCTGCCTTGGGTTCCCGTCGACCCCCAGACACCGGGGCCCCCTCCCTCCCCCGGCGCCGGGTGAGGGCAGCTAGGTTGGAACGTGGCCCAATGGGCGTCCCTGACTCCAGGGACGCCGTCTCAGTCGAGATTCAGGAGGTCCCTCCGGAGGGGCTCGGAGACGAGGCCAGCACTCACCTCTCCCCAGCACGGTCCCTCTTCGGTCCGGTCTCCTCCGCGGCGTCTCCGGCTCCTCCTCATCCACCCCAACAGGAAGTGACCTCCTCGGCTGCTGTCGTCACTTCCATCCTCTGCCGAAAGGGCGGGGAGGAGGCGGTGCCCGCCCCCACCCCAGTCCCCCCCGCCCCCCCCCCGCCCGCGGGTCTCCCAGCCTCGTCTCCCTTCCCTTTAGCTGTCCGGAGACAGCGATTTCCGCCCGCACCCCGCCCCTGCTGTTCCTCCAGCCCGACAGCGTGCGCAGCCGCCCTGGAGCGGCGCGTGCGTCACGCTGCGGGGGCACGTTACGCTCGTTCACGGTGGGCGGCTCTACCCAGTAGCAACCCCACACAGTCGAGGGCCTGAGTGCAAGGTGGTGTCCGGGGTGCTGGGCCGGTGCGCGCGTTTGCGCCAGCCCCGCGCAGTCGAGGCTAGGCCCCTGGAGCCCCACTGGTCTTGCGGTAGGGGTTGTCCCACAGCCGCTTGTAAAGTCTGAGGTGCCGGGATAAAGCCAGCTCCAGACCGCTGCCACCTGCCAGAGAGGAGAATCCGCACAATGGGCAAAGGACTCCAGACTTCAGAGGGAGTTCTCTAGCCCCTGAGAAAGGGCCCTTTGATATGCTGAAAAAAGAAGCTGTGAAACTTTCTCTCGAGTGCATTGCTTAGGCATTTGCTCCCATATAGGAAATGTAGCTGGTCCCCCCCACCGCTTATCCCCTTCCCTCTGCATTGTTTTAAGTTGTCCACATCTAAGCACCTTGGAAGTTTTTCAATTACATCTCCTCTTTCTTTTCCCTCTGCCTTTTGTTCCTGCTCAAGCAATACCAAGTAACTTGTCCAAAGCATTTTTGTTCTTCCTGTCGGGCTCAATGGTAAACGCTCTTAAGCAGTTCAGTTTTACCTCCATCCCCAGCCCGCTGTGGCTGAGTGGATCTAGGCCCGGTTTCACTCCAGAGGCAGGAAAAGGAGAAGTGAGGATCAGTAAAGATTAAATAAGAGTAAAGAATGAAAGTGTGGTGGAACTGAAGAAGAGAGATGAAACTGAAGGAAAATTGAACAATTTGGGTTAAAGCAGTAAACTTTGTCTTGTACCCTTCTAATAACACTTTTACATCCCAAATGCCACCAGGAACATGGAAACATCACCACGAGTATTAGAAAAGTTTCAGTTTTTGATTTATTCCTTGACATTCCCTAGCTGGTGATAAATTAACTAGCCTTTTGGGCCCTTTGGGCTCAAAGTTGCCTTTCTTATTTAAAAAGAAGGGATAATAGCATTGGCAATGTAAGGTCTTTCTAGTTAGAAAATCCTACTACGTGGGTGAATAAAATGACCAAAATTTTAGCTCCTTAGGACTACCAATGTCTGCAACTCCAGCACGAGCTCTTTAAGCGCCTATCCTTCGTATGTTGTGCACACTACCTAGAACAATGTTATATGTGAATGGCAAATGTTTGAATGTTTTTAAAATATTGGGATATAGCTAAGTGATGTTAACTGTAGTCAGGTCCTACTGCTTTCATCTACTAGGTGTGTGACTTTGGTAAACTTACCTAACCTCTCTGTGTCAACTTCTCATATGGATGAACATAATACCTATAGTATAGGCTCGTGGTTGTATGAAATGTGTTAATACACATAGAGTGGTTAGAACAGAGAATGACATGAATATGACAAATGAACAAATGTTGGCAAAAATAATAATAATCATTACATTAAAAATCCTCAAATTCTCATACCACCCATTCAAATCTTAGTAATTGTGTCAACTCAACGAGGGTGATGAGGAAAGAGCAGCTTCTTCTGAAAGTCTGAAATTACTAGCTTTTGCCTCATGGCTCAAACTATCATGGTTAGAGCCAGGACTTAATGACCAAAGACCCTGTCTTTTACAAAGGGCCAGAAACCAGTGTATATGGGCTTTTTCTGCATATTCTTATTCACCGCAGTCTCCCAGTGGTTCTCTGCTGCTGCTTTTCTAATTAGAGTCATAAAGGATGACTTGAGTAAACACAACAAAGATAAACAGGTCTCTCTACCTGGCTGCAGTCTGAATTGAAATACTGAGAAATGTTTACATGTCAGAAGAGCTCAACATAGTTTTTACATTAAGAATCTAATCAACAGGTGAATTTAGGTTTGACAAAGCAAACTGGAAATTCTCTCAAAATTAGTGAGTCCAGATAAATGTGTTTTGCACTGGGAACTTCTTCTGTGAGGGTAGAACCTGGGGAGATTTGGGTAGGTAAGGACATCTTACCAGCGTACCCAAGGTCCCTCTCCATTGTCTTTTTTACCATAGTGCTGCTGCCTACTTCATCTCATGCAGGTAGGCTTCCACAAAGTGGAAATTCTTCTTGTTCCTGAAATACGGAGAGCATACACTTTCTGAAAGTGAGGGGGTGGAACACACTTAGGCATGGTCTAGGAGTCAAGACAGGTTGTAATCTCTCTTGAATTTCCACTTGCTCAAAGCCTTCTTTGTCCACTGACACTGCCCTCTGCCCTACTTCCCACCCATCTTTATAATTGTTCCATATACCTAGGATAAGTTTCTGTTCTAAATCTCACACTCCCAACTTGGCTCTTATGCAACATGGTACTCCATTGCTTCTGAAATTAAAAAAAGAGAAAAGAACGAAGATCTAAAATTAATTTTTCTTCAAAAACCCTTTCTGGATTGGGTTTCTGTGTGTGTGTGTGTGTGTGTGTGTGTGTGTGTTACTTCCCTGGCTCACTCTTTAATGCTCCTCTTTTCATATATGCACTTACATTCTCCACATTCCAAACTTACCTAGCCATATACAGTGGTGGGCAAAAGTAGGTTTACACTTGTGAGTACATGAAACACAATTTATTCTTAGTATTATTATTCATTAATTTGTAATTTTTCATGTAAACAACTGTAAACCTACTTTTGCCCACCCATGTATACACTATAAATGCCTTCCTCTCTACTATTGTAGTATATTACAGAGGTAGATTTACTGTAGCATATACTATATGTGTGTCATATACATATTTGTTCTTCTTAGTGTGTTTTTGTCTTAGATTGTAGGCCCTCAGAGCTTAGAGCCGCAGTCTATAGAGCCATGCAGTGGCCAGTGCATTTCTGTGCCATCATTTGAAATGCCTAATGATGATAATTTCCTTTTCTGTGGCTTATGAGCTGATGTGCTACTGGCACTGGCTTCTTCCCACCTCCCTCAGTCTCCTCTAAGTCTCTCAATAAAAAATGAGTAGCTTTTCCCCCCCAAACTGTGTTTCATTGAACTTGGATTCAGAAGACCTGAGTTTCAGTCCTGCTTCTGATCTTTGCCATATGTTCTCTGACAAGCTGCTACATGTCTCTGAGTTCTGATGACCTCATCTTCATCTGTGAAAAGGGGACACCATTGATGTCCTTGATGAGGATACAGTGTTAAAAGTATCTAAAGAGTGATTGTAAAGTATGAAACCCTTTACCTAGGTGAAGTATCATGATTACTCTGGCTATCACCCCAGACCCCACACTGTATTTGGTATCAAGAACTCAAACTTTACAGCAGTTATCACCTACTTTCACAAACTTTGAGTGGATTTAATGTTTCAAACTTGGGTAGTAATCTAATAGAAAAAAATTTTGCCTTGAGAATTAGGGCTCTTGAGTTTCTCATCTAGGCACTTTTTTTATAAGGCCTACCAAGAGGAAACACATTTCAATTATTCCATGCCTCTGTTTCTCCATTCATAAATTGACTATTCCAGAAAGAAAATTATTGTAACATTAAAACATTATTTATATTGATAAAGTCAAAGACTGAAGAGTGTATTCAAAATTGACTTATTTCTATACTTTGTAATTCAATTTTCCCTAAAGTGAAGGTAAATTATTATAAAAGAATAAACTTTACTAAATATTAATTGTATTTTACCACATTGGACTCAAGTAGCTCATAAGATTTTGTGTTTTGGTTTATTTTTCCCATCAACTTAAGGTTCTCGTGAGGGTAAAGGAGTTAATGTCAGTAACATGACTGGGGATCCCCAGATTAAAGGTTAAGTGAGTCCAAAGCAGAAGTAACTTTGTCCAAAGTCACAACTCAACCAGATGGAGCACAGAGCCTGGCTGTTTACTCAGCAGTGACTTGGGGATTCAAGGACTCTCCCTGATTCCACATCCATTACAGTCCACAAATACCCCTTCCTCTCATTTCCCTTTTTTAGGTCTTGGTTCCCCCATCTCAAATCGACACAGTGGAGAGGGTAGTTAGAGATCATGAGGGAACAGCATGGGACAGTATTTATTTACATGAGGAAATGGCCACTTAAGCTTTGCCCTCCCCCGCCCCGCCACCTCCTTTTTTTCCTGGCAGCTTAGGAGCTGGGTTCCCCTAACCAAATGTTTGATTGACAGAAGGCTCACTTCTTCCAAGAAGCTTGCTGAAGTTAATTGGAGCAGAGGGCTAGCTTCTTTTAGCCTATCCAGGATGTATTCTTCAAGGCCCTGTATTTGTTCCCTACTCTTAGAAGACTTGAAACCTTGACCTGTTTGCCACATAAACTTTTTGCTGTCCTTTGTATTTATTCACTGTTCATATCTGGCTTTCACTGTATTCTCTTTGTGACTATTTACATAATTTGTAATCCTAAGAGGACAGAGACTGTCTATCTAATTCTAATTATATAATAGTCAATAAAAATGATAATCACTGTACTAGAGATTTGATGATCATAGTCTAATAAGCGCTAGTAATGGTTGTAGTAAACAATGTAGTGATGTCTTGAATCAAATTAATTAAAAGTCAGCCACCTTGTCCTGGCCTGTGTGGCTCAGTGGTTGGAGTGTCATCCTGTAAACCAGAAGAGCATATGGAAAAAACATTATATTGAATCTGCATAGCCCCAATACCCAGAACTAGGAGTTATGAGTATATGTGTCAAAGGAGCACATTTTAGCTCCATATGAGGAGGAACTTTCTACAATTAGGGTGATCTAAACATTAACTTGTGTGAAATCAGAAGAGGCAAAGTTCTAAAATACAGTAATTTCTCATCTTTGCCTGGGTGGTAGGTACTT